TAAGTCCAACAAGGAATTGAAAGACTCGTTCTTTCTCAACATTCTGCCTGTACCGTGCTGCATCAACAGCAGATGACCATTCTTCACACGAAATTGAATCCAATTCCTGCCATAGAGCAACGAGCTCCAGCCAATAGTCGGTGATGGAACGGGTACCTTGTTTTAATTGCCAAATACGAGTTTTAATCTCATAAAGTTGAGATAAGTCTTCACCGTCTGAGTATGAGTCTCGCACAGCGTCCCAAATCGCCTTTGCTGAGGGAAGATACATAAAGCTGCGCTTAAGCTGAGGAGTCATAGCGTTGATTAACCATGATGAAACTAACGCGTTCTCGGTTAGCCACTGCTGCATTGCTGGAGACGCTGGGTCACTCAGCTCCTTCGACTCACCGGTAAGAAGACCCAGCTTACCACGTCCACCAACGGCCAATTTCATGGCCTGGGCCCACTCCCTATAGTTGGCTCTAGTCAGCTTCTCGGAGACAATGGTGACAGAGGATGATCCATCGGTGCTGGAGGTCGACCCGAGAGGATCGCCAGTTTGGGTTGTAACCGTTGGGGAGCCACCAAGAGAGGGGTCTATGTTGACCGAATCTCCCTTGGGGTTCGACCTGACTCGAGCTGCCTCCGAAGTGGAGGACGTTGACGACGACGATGATAGACTGGACGATGGAGGAACGTTCGCTGGCTCTGGTACCATGAAGAACCAGTAAACTTTGAATAATTCGTATATATTATTCAGTTACGCATTGTACAAATATATATACACCGAAGGTCAAACCAAAAGATTACAAGGATAGGATTACAAGATATATTAGGAGAGATATTTGGAATAATTTAAATTAAAACCGATCCCTCCTAATCCGCCTAATATCTAGGTGATCTAGGAATATCTCTCTATTAACCACAGAAATCATGCCACATATCTTGTGCTGTGCCATCATTGTTCTGCAATAATTATTGAGATCCAATCATCATTTATTTATTTTCTTAATTTCCTAAAATATACAAAAAAAACAAAAATACTTTCATGCATAATAGTGCGATTAAAGAAATAATAAAAGCAATAAAATCTAATAAATTGATCATTTTTATCATTTGTTTAATAGAATAAATTTAAGCACCAAATACTCACAACTACTGCAAGTATACCTAAAAATCATAATAAAATCTCAAAATCATATATAAAAATATATAACTATATATATATATATCAAACTTTTCCACACTTAAATTTTTTTACTCTAAGACAAAGCTATAGAACATGAAAACGTCCTATTAACATTGACACGTAGATGAATCAATCATATTCAAGCACGAAAGTAATAACTCAATCAATCACATTCCTGAAGTCAACCATTGTCATAGAATAATAAATATAGAAGAATCAAAAATGGAGTTAAAACTAGGGAATAAAGTAGAAGAGAGCTCTCAAGAAATATAAGTGTTTCACTCATCCCATTTTTAATGGGGTTCTTTCACTCAAATCATCTTATGCTAGCTTTTATTATAGGCTTGTAATAAGTCTAAATCTCTGCCATTAGATATATGTGCATTTTAAAATTAAGGGGTATTTTTGGCTTGTAATGATCCATATAGGCTACATGGAATGGAAAGTAAAACATAGGAAATAATACATGCATATGAGATGAGAAAATAAAGTTAAATTGAGTCATATGAATGAAGAAAGATATAGGAAAAAAGACAAAAAAATGATAGTTAAATAATGAAATCCCCAAATGGTCATGTAAATGAGTAAAATTCTAGTTTAGATATAGGTAATCAAATTGGGATTTGCAAATTTGCTAAAATGGTCATATTGGCCTTTATTTTTTTTCCTGAAAAAAAAAAAGAACAAACACCCTTCTCGGCCTGTCGATCGTTGGAACTCCAATGCCGTTAGTGGCCACCGGTCACCAGACCTCTGGTGTCTGGCTGATGACTAATTACTGGAGATCTGGCGACTGGCAACTATTTTTTTAGGAATTTTTTTTTTCAAATCCAGTAATAAGATTAACAAGTTCTTTCACGCTATTAACAAGTCTAATATAATAATAATTAACAACATGTTTTCTAACAAATTCAAAAAGGGGCATCTTTACCACTTCAATAATGTAGCATCCCAAATTTTGGCTCAAAGGTATAGGAAAATTGCCTAAGAAGTGAAGCCTACTAGACCCTTTTTTGTAAGAGTCTCGGAGGTTCCCTGGAGGAATCACAAGATTCTCAGGAACTAAATTGCAAAGCGAGCGTTTTTTGGGATTGAGAAAAGAGGAAGATAGAGATTCCAATAAAATCTCAGGAGGTCGAATATGAGAAAATGGAGATAAATGCAAGTCAAAAATTATGTTAGAGGTCTCAATAAAGTGAATTATGGGGTTAAGTCGAACCAAGAGTAAAATTGTAATTTTACAGAATTTCAGGTCAGAAAAGGACAAAAATAGAAATTGTGCCTGAAAATTCTAGAAAAATCTTAGACAATGGAAAATGGCATTGTAAGGCCTTTTTGTGAAGAGAAATGGTAAAAATACCCCTCAGATGACTTTAATGGACTTTCTAAGATTATGGCTCATTTTGAGCTATATAGTTAGATTTAATTGTTTGAGCCATAAGGAGGCCTCAGAAAATTAAGAAAAAAATAGGGATTCATGAGTTAAGAGACTACAGAAAATTATAAAATTAGTCACATCTCCAAAAGACTAGTAGAATAGTCATAAGGAGGCCTCAAACAATTAAATCTAACTGTATATCTCAAAATGAGTCATAATAGTAGAAAGTCCATTAAAGTCAATCGAGGAGTATTTTTGTCATTTCTTTTCACAAAAAAGTCTTAAAATGCCATTTCCCATTTTTTGAGATTTTTTTTTTTGGAATTTCAGGCATAATTTTCATTATGGTCCTTTCTGGCTCAAAACTTTGCAAAATTATGATTTTACCCCTGATTCGGCTTAATCCCATAATTCACCTCATTGAGGCCTCTAACATAAGCTTTGGCTTGCATTCATCTCCATTTCCTTATATTCAACCCTATGAGACTTCACTAGAGTCTCTATCTTCCTTTTTTCTTAATCGCAGAAAACGTTCGCTTTGCAATTTAATCTCTGGGAGTCCCTTTGTCCCTTCAGGGAACCTCCGGGACTCTTGCTAAAAAATGCCTAGTAACCTTCACATGTTAGGCAATTTTTCTGCACTTTTGAGTCAAAATTTGGGATGTTACAAATAACACGATTAATAAATTTTGTAATGCTATTAACAAGTTCGGCATAGTATTTAAGAACAAGTATTCTGGGAAATTTAAAAGTGTTATTTTTATAACTTTAGTAACTCAGTTAACAAGTTATATAATGATATGAACAACTCTCATAATGCAATTAGCGACTCTAATAACAAGTTATGTAATGATATTAATAACTCTTGTAACCATAGTGATTGTCTAATAAACAAAAAATTTTTGTTGTACAAATATTAACAACATCAACTTTTATTGGGAAATTTTGTTAATGGTGTTATGAGAGTTGTTAATATCATTACATGACTTGTTAACAACATTACTGAAATTGGAAAAATGCCTTTTTTTAATTTTTTAAAAAACCTATTGTTAACTGCTATACCGAAGTTGTTAATAATGTTACAAAACTTGTTAGTTGCATTATTGAAGTTGCAAAAATACCACTTTTTAAATGTCCTAAAAAAACTATTGTTAATTGTTATACTGAAATTATTAATAACGTTAAAGAACTTGTCAATTACATTACTGAACTTCAAAAAGTTCCTAAAAAATAGATGCAAGTCGCTAGAGCTCCAGTGACTGGATGTCGGCCAGCCGTCTGGGCTTCAGTAATAGTAGCCCACTTGAACTCCGGTGACCACCGCTGATACTGGAACTCCAACAATCAGCCAACTGGTGAGGATGCTTGGTGTTTTTTCTTAAATTCGGCAAATTGGTATATCACAATTTGATCACCTATACCTAACTAAAATTTTGCTTATGTAGGTGATCATTTGGGAATTTTGAAATTTAGGAATCATTTTTCTATCATTTTCCCAAAGATATATATATTGGTTGTAAATAAATAAATCAATGGCCCTTTTCTTTATTTTCCTTTTTTTTCTTTTGCTTTCTTCTTTTTCTTTTTGTTTTGGATTTAATTTCTTTTTTCACTTTACTTGCGCCATTTTTATTCTTTTTTTGCTCTATTTTCTTCTCTCTCTCTTTTCTATAGGTATGTAGGCAACAATTAATACTATTGTAAGATGTATATGACATGAAGAAGAGAATGTTGTTACAATGATGTGCATGCATGGATAACTTTATGGAGAAAAGAAAAGTAACATGCTCAAGGGGGTAGCAAATGATATATACATATGGCTTGTGTTTAAAAAAGTAAGGGTTTAAAATATGAAAGGCTTTTATCATTTTAAAGTTTGCATATGAGTCGAAGATGTTAGCCGAACTGTTAGAGAGAGAAAGTAGAGAGAGAGTGTCTGCCAAGAGTAAGTTTTTCCATGTCTTCTGTCGACCTCACTCCCCGGAAACAGCCACCAGATCGTCCTATGGAGGGTCTGAGGGCTCCTAATGGGGGGATTGAAGATCAAAAGAGCACTGCCGGGTCAGAAGGAAATGTGATTACGTTGCCAAAGCAAGGAAATACTAAGAGCGGGAATGAAGAAATGGGAACAGATGAAAGCAGAGGTAAATCGCAGAGGACCACAGGAACTTTTACTGGGGAAGTATCCTTGAGAGCTCGTGAGGAAGACTGGATGACAGAAGAAAGTGAACTTCCAGTCAACACCACCTCAAGCCCCTTATCCTACAGAGATGCAGTTAAGCCCTCGGCGGGTTATGAACAGAACCCACAGAGAATGAAGAGGGTTGAAATACCCTGGGACGGGAGTCTACTTCTGAGCAATGAGGAAGAAATGAAACAAGGAGTAGAGGTAGTTGCCCCCAGATTTGCTTTTCTGAAGAAGAAAGGAGAAGGCTAGAAAAGAACTGGGAAATGTCGCTGATTATCAAATTGTTGGGCGGAACTATCGGCTTCATGCAGATGAGAAGGAAGGCTCAGCTCATGTGGGGAAAAGCAGGTACGGTAGATCTCTCGGACATAGGTAATGGTTACATGATTGCAACCTTTACAGACTGGGACGACTATTTCTTTGCTCTGGAAGGGGGCCCCTGGTTGGTCGCCAGTCATTATCTAACGGTCCAGACTTGGAAACGAAATTTCCAACCTTGGAATGAACGTATCAACCGAGTAGCGGTGTGGGTGAGACTACCTGGATTACCAGGAGATTACTATGACCGTAAATTCTTCTATAACCTGGGTAACCAGATAGGAAAGGCGATTAAGGTGGATGAGATGACACTGACAAGAGCAAGAACGATGTTTGCTAGGATGTGCGTAGAAGTGGACTTGAACGCCCCACTACTTCCGTCTTATATGGTCGATGGAAATATCCTTAAGATAGAATATGAGGGACTACATCTGATTTGCTTTGGGTGTGGAAAATTTAGACACAATGCAGAACATTGCCTGGCCAAAAACACGCAAAATGGCCAGAACCATGAAGGAGGAAAACAGGGGGAGAGGAAAGCTTCCAACACCGGTGAAAGCACAAGGAGCCCGGAAAACAAACCGGCAACCTCTCAGGAACACCCCTACGGAGGATGGATGGTGGCACAAAGACCAAGACGGGGGAGAAGACCTGCACCTAGAGAGGATCAGACTAGTACTGAAATAAAAAAAGGTGGCAGAAAGGAGAAGAAAGCAGGTACCTCGAGATTTGCTGTGTTGGAAGTTGAGGAAGAGACTGGCGGGGAAGAAATAGTACAAAAAGGAAACAGAGTACCACTACAAGAAATTTCTAATGAACAGAAAGGAAGAGAAAGTAACCCGAAAAAGTATGAACCAATGAAAAAGAAACAAAATAAAAAGTTAGAGTTGAGAGCCAACCAAGGGAAGGAAGTACAACGTGGCATATTAGAAAAAGAGAGTGGTAAAAGTGACAGAAATATAGAAGCAACAGAGAGCAGAATAAGAGAGAGATCAAGGGAAAGGTCAATTGAGAAAAAGAAAGAAGAGCAGGTGAGAGGAAGCAGCGACAGTAATTGCAGCAGTGGGACCGACCCAGTGACACGGCAGATTATCAGACATGAGAGAGATATGTGTAAGTTGGGCCAGTCTGAAGAGAGACCAATTGGGCCGAGAATTGAAAATAGAGAACACCTAGAGGACAACATTGTGGAAAGCTTCTTGGGCAATCTTCTAGACCGGCCTGAGGCGGGCATGGATCTGGACACTAAACCACCAGACCCAGAAGTCCAGTTGGAAGCAACGGAATTGTATAAGGAGGAGGGGCTTGTCCGGCAAGGAGAAGAAGGGGCCAGTAAGGAACGCGATACTGATCTCAGTAACGCATAAGTGGTTGTTGGTCCATCCTCAATTTACCATTAATTAATGATTCTAGTCTGGAATGCAAGAGGAGCAGCCGGTAAGAATTTCGGAAGTGCTCTAAAAGAATTAATGAGAAGATTTAAGCCTCAAGTTGTTGTTTTAGTGGAAACTCGGTGCAGTGGGACTAAAGCTCAGGAAGTTATTTAACGGATGGGTTTCAAGAACCAACTGATTGAAGAAGCTAGGGGTATGACAGGAGGAATATGGATTCTGTGGAATGATGACAACTTAAAAATCAGGAAGATTGAGAGTAATAAGTAGTATATTCACTGTGAAGTCAACGAAATAAGTAAGGAAAGCTGGTACTTCACGGCAATATACGCTAGCCCACGTGAATTGGAGAGAAGGGAGCTATGGGAAAGGTTGCAGGAGATAGCCAAAAACATGAAGGTGCCTTGGCTTTTAGCCGGGGACTTCAATGATATAAAGGAAGCGGAAGAACAAAGGGGAGGGAAGCTAGTGAATGAGAAAAAATGTAAAAAATTCAGAAATTACATAGAGCGCTGCAATCTTATTGACTTAGGCTCTAAGGGTCCAAAGTACACTTGGAAAGGACCTGTAATAAACCATGCTTGTAGAATGTATAAAAGGCTTGACCGTGGACTTTGTAATGTGGCGTGGAGAATGAAATTCTGTGAAGCAGTGGTGAGAGTAGGACCGAGGACTCAATCTGATCACCACCCCCTATGTATCCACCTGGAGACAGAAAGAGGAAACAAGGAGAAGAGACCATTCAGATTCGAAGCAGCTTGGCTAAGACACAAGGATTTCAAAAGCTTTCTTGTTGATCAATGGGTTGGGCAAAGCGAAATTGGAATGAAGTTAAAACGGTTGGAGGAAAAGCTTCAAGACTGGAATAGAAATGTGTTTGGTCATATAAAGAAAAAGAAAAATGAGTTATTGAGAAGACTGGCTGGAATTCAAAGAGCTCTGCAAAACCGCAAGGATAGAAGACTTGAGGAACTAGAGGAGTCTTTGAACACGGAACTAAATGAGATTCTACAGCAGGAAGAGTTGTTTTGGTTTCAGAAAGCAAGAACAAAATGGTTGAATGATGGAGATAGAAACACAAAGTACTATCATACCAAGACTACCATTCGGAGAAGAAGGAACAGGGTCACCACCTTAAAGAATGATGATAGCAATTGGGTTGAAGGGAAGGAAGAAGTGGGAGCCTTGATAAATGATTATTACCAGAATCTATTCAAAGAGGAGGAGACTGATAGAGGATGGGTTACTACTCAGCACTCATGGCCAAGTATTGAGAAAGAGGATTGGAACAGGATAAGCGCTGATATAACAAGAGAGGAGGTGAAGAGCACCATGTTTTCCATCGGGAGCCTTAAAGCGCCTGGTGAGGATGGATTTCCAGCAGCTTTCTTCCAGAAAAATTGGGAAATAGTGGGAGAGGATATATACCAAGCTGTTAAACAAATGTGGAGTAGACCAGAGACCATAAAGGAGGTGAATCGAACCTTAATCACACTTATACCCAAAGTGGACAGCCCGGAAAAAGTAAGTCAATTTCGACCAATCTCCTTGTGTAATGTGGTGTATAAATGCTTCTCTAAGCTGATTGTGTCGAGACTGAAAAATATCATGAAGGATTTGATTTCCCCATTTCAAGTGAGCTTTGTACCTGGAAGGAACATACATGATAATGTCATTATAGTTAATGAAATGATCCACTCTATGAGAAAGAAAAGGGGCAAGAAGGGCTTCATGGCAATCAAGATTGACTTGGAAAAAGCTTATGATAGAATTAGCTGGAGTTATATGGAGAAGATCCTAAAAGAACTAAAGTGTCCCGACCATATGATAGAAAGATTTCTGGGATGCATGGATACTACGTCTACACAAATTATCTGGCATGGTGAGAAACTTCAAGACTTCAAAGCAACCCGGGGACTAAGGCAAGGTGATCCCATTTCCCCATACCTATTTGTGCTCGGCATGGAAAAACTGACTCATCTAATTCAAGATAAAGTGAGAGAGAGAAAATGGAGAGGAGTGAGAGCTGGAAGGAGAGGACCTACCATCTCCCACATGATGTTCGCGGATGACCTCGTGCTTTTTGCAGAGGCAAACACTAACCATATAAATGTCATTTTAGATGTTTTGCAGGTATTTGGAGCAGTTTCTGGACACAGAATAAGCCAGGAGAAATCACATATATATTTCTCACCTAATGTCATTCAACGGGTGCGAAATGAGATATGTGCCAGAAGTGGATTTAAACAAGTAGATGAGCTCGGTAGATATCTAGGGGCAAATATCTCCTACCCAAGGCAACGTAAAAGTAAGTTTGAAGCGGTGGTCGAGAAAGTTAGAAAGAGGCTGAATGGATGGAAGGCAGAGAGCCTCTCACTGGCCGGAAGATCAACCTTGGTCAAAGCTGTCACGGGTTCAATGGCATTATATCCTATGCAGCATGACAGAGTCCCAACAGGAGTGGTGGAGGAGATAGAGAAAGCTCAAAGGAAGTTCATATGGGGAGAACAAGGAAACAACAGGAAATGGCATGCCGTGGGATGGAAAACTCTATGCAAACCAAAGAATGAAGGAGGCTTGGGTCTTAGATCACTGAGAAAAATGAATGATGCGTTCTTATTGAAGCTAATCTGGAGGATGCACTCTGAACCAAATAATCTTTGGGTTCAAGTGCTCAAGGGGAAATATGGAAGAGACCGGGTAGATCAGCAAACCCTTGTTGCCAAAAGTAGTGACTCGAGACTGTGGAAGGAATTGACTAAAATGTGGCCACTCTTTGAGGAAAATATGTATAAAGAGATTGGAAACGGGAAGGACACAAGAGTATGGATAGATAGATGGATTCAGCAAGAAGGCGCTCTTATTAACTATGTCACAAACCCAACCCAGATAAGTAGAGAGATGCGAGTAGAACACTTAGTAGGGGAGAATGGACAATGGAAACTGTCAGAATTGGAGGTGTGGATACCAACCAGTGTGACTGAAAAGATTTCTAGCATGCTGCCGCCACAAGACAAGAGACCCGATGACAAGTTAAAGTGGAAGATATCAGGGAAAGGCAACTTCACCATTGCCAGCACCTACAACAGCTTAGTTGGGGTGGATGAACAAGTCAGTGATGACTTATGGAGACAAATATGGAAGTTAAGGACCCCAGAACGTATACAAACCTTCATGTGGATTGTCGCGCACAAAAGGCTGCCAACAAAAGCTCAAACAAGCAGATGGGATACGAGTAATGGAGAATGTAGCATCTGCAGTGCAGCAATAGAGGATATGTCCCATGCACTTAGAGAGTGTCCTTATGCTAAAGCAATCTGGAAAGGAGTAGTACCCCGAAATAAGTGGTCAAGATTCTTTAATGAGGAGTGGAAAGAATGGCTCAACAATAACCTCATGGTGAATGGAGCCCTCAATAAAGACAATGGATGGAAGGAATGTTTTGCGACAGGATGCTGGCTAATTTGGAGGTGGAGAAACAAATTTGTGCATGAAACCGACTTCAGTATCCCAAATAATGCTGCTGAAGTGATAATCAGATATGCAGAAAGCTATAAGGAGGTAAGGAACAACGAGTTCTTCAGAGAGCTCAGAGCAGAAACAATCCTAATTGCTTGGCAAAAGCCTAAGATAGGATGGTGTAAGCTAAACACAGATGGAAGATGGAATGGAAGCAGCTTCGCAGGATGTGGAGGCTTGATCAGAGGAGATTGCGGCGAATGGATCAGGGGATTTAATATGAGAATACAGTGTAAGGGTGCGAGGGAGGCAGAGGTATGGGGACTGTATGAAGGGCTACGTATGGGATGGGATTTGGGTTTGAGGAAGATAGAAGTGGAGTGTGATGCACTCCAAGTAGTTCAGGATATCAAGAATGGAAACCCCATCAGCAGCAGGAGAGATTTAGCAAGGATGATCAAAGAAATCCTGCAGAGAGACTGGAATATTCAACTCTCTCACATCTATAGAGAGGGGAACAGAAGCGCAGACAAAATGACTTCAATGTGCAATGGGAGAATAAACGAAAAAGTGATCTGGACGAGTCCACCTAAAGAGATGCAGGAAGTCCTTGAGGCTGACCTTGTTGGTATAGAAAGTAGGAGAACGATTTATAATTGAGTGTTTTGTTGGGCTTCGGCCCCTTCCTTTACCAAAAAAAAAAAAAGTTTGCATATGAGTCAGAGATAATAGAATCAAGATAAATTCTAAAGAGTTAAAAAAATTGTAAGAAGTAATTACTCAATTTAGGAATTATTAGAGGTTGAAAATCCTTCCAACAAGGCTATTTCTTTTCGCATATTCTACTCACTGAGACTAACTGAAAACCTTCATTGATTCAAATGCACTAAATTACTTGTTTTAAGAAAGGCTTTTAGGATTTGCGAAAGTTTTCACATAAGAGTGCCAGACATTTATAAGTTTTTTTGGGTACAAATTTTGCTTCAAAAGTTTAAAATCATAATAATTTTGCCCATAGACGTTATAAAATTAACTATTAATGTCATTATTTTAATGGTTAATGTTAATTTTTTCATATAGTTGGAAAGTTAACAATTAAAAAATTGCCTTCAAATTAACATGTGACTGGAGAGGAGACTTATCATGTGATATGGGGCGATATAGTTGGCACGGGGAGAATTAACATAACAGAAAGGAAGATTTTATAGTCAATTCTGTGCTTAAATCTTGCTTAAAACAATTACTTACTATACCAGTTAATTGAACCAAGTTATTAATTTCAAATAAATTAAATAGTTTGAATAATTTTTTTAACTGCTTCAGAAAGCTTTTCTCAGCAGTCAGTGTAGAAAGTCAAAATTCACCAGTCACAATTTTTATATTGTTTTGCGACAAGTGTAAAGGGCCGCTATAAAAGTGATATTTTGTGCACCAGTAATTTTTCAAAATATCTAACAATTTGCGTGTGGAAAGTTTATTCATGCATATTCTCTGGTAATATCCTTTTTGGAAATGCA